CACCGGAACACTTCGTTTATTATCCTGAGCTTTCAGACTCGTACAGGAGTCCATCGTCAGAGGTAGTGGCAGAAACAGGATAGGCGACAGTTATAAGGCACGTAGGCCCAATCATCGACCGACGTCGCACGACTGGAGGTGACTACGAAGGGCTCTGTACGCCGGCGCCAGATCGATAAATCGATTGACCGAGTTCTCATCTGAGGCCCAGGCTTCAATCAATTCTCGGCCTGTCTTTTTTCCGGCGTGGGTGACTATTTTGGTGGCTGCGAAGTCAAACTCGTGACCCATTTCGTAGGTGTGGGCGGCCACTTGTGATAATGCGTCGCCTCGCCGTACAGCCAGCTTATGTTCGTGTATGCGCGATCCGAGCATGCGTCCAGTCTGTCCTGTGTAATTACAAGGACAATTTTGACACGGAATGCGATACACTACTCAGCTCAGGATAATAAACGAAGTGTTCCGGTGCTCGACTCTTCTTCTTCACTTATGCATACACCTGGAACTCGAAATTTCGCCTTCACTGGCTATTTTGCGTGTCTCGTCCCAGGGGACGGGAAACTAGGCGGTCCGACCTTCGGAAGGTGCACTCGCCTTGCGCAACCCAGAGCGCAGCTCATGCACGCAAGCACGCACTCGGATACTCACCGCCAACTGCACATTTAGTGACCAGACTCCATGAAATGCGTCGAATGATTGCCAATCACTCGCAAACCGACACCATCCCATGAGTCCAGTGTCAATGTTAATTAAGTACAGGTTTAAAAAAATTAAAAATGTAACAGAAATATTGAAGGCGGTGTTGCGTTATTTAGAAATGCCGATTTCTTTGGAAACGCGCAATATGCCGAAAACTTCAGAAAGGGCTCTAGTTTAGTAGACTTCGTTTTCAGGTGTATAGAATGTATTTCATACCAAAAACGCACCGCCCCGTGCCAACTGTACAGGTACTGACCTAACTCCATGAGATGTGTTGAAATGCACGAATGGTTGCCAGTCACTCGAAAACCGACACCAGAAAACACACGGAAGAGGCTGGGAGACCCACTGATGAGCCGAACCCCTCGCAGCTCTGTCAGGCATCGACACAGGATCGGCGAAACTCGCGTGTCTGGGCTTTTAGCTAATACCTGTGTTGTTAGTACGGTAAAGCATTGTACAATTCTGTGCCACTGGCTGCCTGTTGGCGGTTTGTGAATAGTACGCGGTTATTCCGCGGTAGCTGGTGGATTTCAGCTCAAATATTCATATCAAACTTTGGACCATGCCTGAAAATGTCTATTCCAAAGAATTTACACCAAGTTCGCGCATTAATTTCCTCGGAAATTAAACAAGGCATAGGTGAGAAAGAAGTCAGTATTTCTTACGACATGAAGTCAGCGACATGCGAATCATGTCTAATTGTTACATGTGGGATCGAGTTGGATGTCGTGGGTTTCAGACCCGTAGGAAGTCGTTGGTGGGCGTCATGTCGCCAGTCATGTGTACAGCGTACGAGGCACGTTGGGTGAAAAACGTGAACTGGTCTTGAGATGGCAGAGATCTTTGACGGCAAGTACAGGCACTATAAAAGTAGGTGTTTTACGTTTTGTCATTTGGGAACTCGGAGGGCGCCCTATAGTGGTCGACGTGCAGTTTTAAAAATTTTAGTATCCTACATACAGTTAGTGACATAACTCATGAAATGTGTCGAAATTTACGAATGACTGCCAATCACTCGCAAACCGACACCATTTCATGAGTCCGATTTCTATGTTTATGAAGTATAAGTTTAAAGGAATTAAAAACACAAAAGAAATATTAAGAGCAATGTTGCGTTGTTTAGAAATGCCGATTTATTTTGAAAAGCACAATATCCCGAAAACGCCAGAAATGGCTCTAATTAAGTAAACTTCGTTTTAAGATGTATAGCATGTATTCTAATAACAAAAACGAAGTAGATATGAAACTAGACATAAAATAACGTCTAATAACAGTGTTTTAGTGAAGTGTACATTTAAATACCGTTTAATAAGTAGTGTGATTCCATATATGACGGTTTGTCAACTGCCTACATTCTGGGTGTAGATCCTAAAACAGTTTTCCAGTGATTTCTGTTTTTTCTTATTTGTTTGAAGTAAATGAGATGAGTTCAACAAGAGAAGCTGGATTTTGCTTGATTTCACCGATGGGGACGTCGTAGAAACAAACGTTTTCATAAGGTGACATGCCATGAGGCCCGTCGGGGCCTAATAAATAGCACTGACAGGCATGATCGTAAACATACCATTTTGTGAATTGAAAACAAGCATGTACAGCAGAATTTATTGGGGCCAACAAATTTCGTGACGGCTTTTCAACTGCAACCCGTCTCTGCATAACACAGGTAACGAATGAACGCGCACAGCAGTATGAATTTGTACAGAATGACAGTGCATAGGAGCAAGGTCAAAGTTCAAAATAATCAATAATCAGCTAAGACGTCCACATAAGCATCAAAAAGGAAAAAAGGAAGACGAAATGTTAACAACAAATCACAGTCAGAGGAAAATAGAGGCGTGAGATTACCAGGGCAATTGCAGATTGATCACATGATCTAACTGCTTGCACAGGTCTGGTTTCTCCCTCCGTATGTAGGCTGCTTCCAAATAACGCAAGGTTCGAGTTGTACGTGCTCGGACAAGTACTCGAAAGGATGCTTTAGGGTCGACAACATGACCGCTATCTAACAGGTGTTTCGTTATAGACGAACGGGTTCTGTACAAATTCATACTGCTGTGCGCGTTCATTCGTTACCTATGTTATGCAGAGACGGGTTGCAGTTGAAAAGCCGTCACGAAATTTGTTGGCCCCAATAAATTCTGCTTTACATGCTTGTTTTCAATTCATACCGGGGAAAAAATGCTTCAAAATACCATTTTGTGTTTATAGAGAGAACGTTTCTTCCGTTAAATTAATTTGTACCTCTCATTCGTTTTAGATTACGATGAGTTTCAGATCGGCCTCGAAATATTGCTGAATACTTCTTTGACAGCAAGTGCAGGCACTATAAAAGTAGTCACATCTTTCTTCAGCCTACCAATGCAGTAATATGAAGTGCTCTGTTTTGCGTTTTGTCGCTTGGTGACTCGGAGGGTGCCCTATAGTGGTCGACGTGCAGTTTTAAAAATTTTAGTATCCTACATACAGTTGGAAATTTTAATATCCCACAAATACCCTTAGGATGTTTACCCTATTTTGCCCAAACTCGTTTAAACGGAAGCGTCCGTACTTGGGCAAGGTTACAACGGTAGAATAGAAGGGGGCATAATCCGCAATCATCTCCTTCGCGGGCCTTGATTCAGCCTCTATTCAACTAACTGCGTAAAACATCCTTCGAAAGTAGTCCACAAGTGGTGCGCACTCCCCCCATTGATTTCTGTGGACTAAATGGACTCTCGCATACCACTGTCTGCGTAGGTAGCATAATATACCATACGTGACACGACAGATGTTAGCTAAAAACACCAGGCACGCGTTTCGTTGATATTCTACAGCTTCATGGCACAGCTGCGTGGGGTTCGGCTCATCCGTGGGTCCCCCCAAGCGTTCACCGCGTGCTTTTCCGGTAGGTACTCCAGTTTTTAAATCGCGGCTGTTTAACACCCTCAGAAATTATCTGCTAACTTGGAGTAGACCAGTCTATTTGAGAATTATGGGTTTCGACTGAAATTCGATACGAAATATATTTAAGGGGAGATTACAGATCCACAATTTCAAAACTGGAGTATCGACCGGAAAAGCAAACGGAAAACACTTGGGTGGAGGAGTCAATCGCCTCGCTGGTGCGTCTGGGCCTTTACCCAGCATCTGTGCTGTCAGGTATGGTATATCATGTTACCTATGCGTATACTACTGCCTGCCTGTCAGTAGTTCATAAATATTGCGCTACTATTCCGCTGTTGCTGATGGACTTTGGTCCAAATATTCATGTCAAATTTCAGTTCAGACGCATAAGTCTCAGATAGACTGATATACTCCAAGTTAGCGGTTTATTTCTGAGGAAATCAAATAGTCGCAATACTACTGTCTGTAGTGTTTAAAAATCACAGGCGCAGATTGTTCCACTGTGGACCAACATTAGGTACGGTCGCTTCCGTTTGAACGAGTATAAACAAATTTAAGTAAACGTCCTAAGGGTATTCGTAGGGCATTAAAATTTTCAACACTGGACGTGGACTACCACAGGACACCCTCCATTTTGATAAAAAAGTAGAAGCGACCGCTGGACCAAGGGCTTTATTCGCCTGGCGTTTCGGATTCTCGCTCGAATTCATCATCATCAGAGACAGTGACAGAAATAGGTGACTTGTGCACAGGAAGTTGCAGCATCTGTTGGATGAAGTTGCTGTGCTGCTGCATGCCAATGGTAGTTAACCGCTCTCCCCTTCATCGTGAGTTGTTGTCCGATGGTGCGCTAATTGCTTGCTGGCCGCCATGCAAGTTGTTAATTGCTGAAATCTCATCATCCGTGTTGGATGCTGGCGTGATGACTGTTCGGCCATCTGGCTCACCGGCCTGCGTGCTCCCCGAGTGGTTAATTAATTTGACCAAACTACGCCTCAGGACGGAATGTGGGGCGTTGTACTTGTTGATAAACTGGAGTCCTGTGAACCATGTCTCCCTCCGTTTTCTCAGGCGACAAAACGCATTAGTAGGCTGCAGGAAGATGCGCCTACTTTTATTGCCGGCAAAGAGCCCTGCAATGCCAAGACCAGCGTGTGCTTTTCACTCAACGTACGCTTGGTACGTTTTACGCCGTGTCTCTGGCACATGTTTGGCGACGTGACCTCCACCAACGACTTCTTACGGGACTGGAGCCCACACGACACCCTTTGACCCCACATGCAGCAATTAGGCGTGATTCACATGTCGCCAGCTGCACCCACCTACCCACCTCCCCCCAGACATGCTGCATGTGCTCTGGGTCAAGGTCATCAAGGCGGGTTTTCAGTCCAGAGTCCGTCTCCTCTGCTCACAATATGAACTGGGTTCAGGCTCGTCGTTTGGGCCTCCTCTCCGGCTTTGCCGTTGGAATTCTTCTTCTTCTGCGAGGGTTCACACTCCCAAATGGCTTCGTGGGAGGTGGACGGCAGTCCACGGAGCCTGGCAAGACGCAGTCCGGCACTGTTCTGCCACACACAGACACGTCAGCCGAGAGGATCATCTGTTCCTCCACGCCGCCCTACGACATGGCGTTTTGCTTGTCCGACAATGACGCCCTCCAGACGCCACCGATGGCCGAATTGCCCTGCCGATGGGAAGAAGACTTGGTGGCTAATGGGGCACACCGATGCCTCTCCTTCGCCAGCCTTGCTCACGATCAGTCCGGGCTAAAATCGAGGACCGCGTTTCATCTATATCCACAGGACTTGCCAGCACAGGAGGTGGTGAAGCGAGCTAGACGTGGACTGCCGATTGGAGTAGTAAGTTGCCCCGTCGGGGAACAGAGTTCTGTCATGCCCTTTTTTTCTTGTTGAACAAAAAGAGGTATTCTCATTTATACTGCTACTAGTTTGCAGGCCGAACGCTTGTGATGGCTGCAGTCAGCGGCCTTGGTGCACGTAATGGTCTATCTGTCAAAGTAATCTGTTATGTCAAAATTTTGGCTGTGAGGAATGTAGCAGTAATTTGAGGAGTCTTTCGGTTACATGTCATTACTAGGTGCCACTGAGTTCTCATCCGAGGCCCAAAATAGTCGCCCATGCCGGAAACAAAACAGGCCGAGAAGTGACTGAAGCATAGGCCTCGGATGAGAACTCAGTCAATCGATCTGGCGCCGGCATACGGAGCCCTGCGCAGTCACCTCCAGTCTTTGCCGTCGGTCAATGATTGGCTTACATGCCCTAAAAGCGCCGCTTGCTCTGTTGCTGCTACTATCTCTGACGATGAACTCCTGCACCAATTCGAAAGCTCAGGACAATAAACAAAGTGTTCCGGTGCTCGATCCCTTTTCTTCTTCTTCTTCTTCTTCTTCTTCTTCTTCACGTAATGGCCTATCTGTCAAAGTAATCTGTCATGGCAAAAGTTTGACTGCGAGGAACGCAGCAGTAATTTAGGGAGTCAGTACTAGGCGCCACACTTACAGTAGATGTGCTAACTCATGAAATGTCAACCAAAATTTCGAAATGCGTCCTCGTTTCGAAAAGATAAATTAAGTAGTGTTGTAAAACTAATCATGATGCAGCATAAATCTTTAACAGCTAGTTACCTCAGGGTGTCGGCTTTCGAAAGAACTTATTTTCGGCTGCATGCAAGATCTATACTCCGCAAACAATGACTACTTATGTAGCATGCAATTTCCTCATTGATTTTCGATGTTCTTGAAAATTCAATTATATTTCATGGAAAACATGCATAAAAATATTCATTCTTTTACTTATTCGGTAGAAAATCATGTCTTCTTCCAACTTCATACTCAAAAGAAGAGTATAATTCGGTTTCAAAAAACTTTTTTAATTCCCGAATAATTTCGAACCCAACCTGCTGTTACACTTGCATTCAGGGTTTCAAAACTACAAGCTGTATATTTTCCGTGTACGGAAAACCATGCATTTCTCTACGGTATTACGAGGAGACCACATGAGGTTCATAAAATTAAGCAGTGGATTTGAGCAATATTGTTAACTTTGCAAGCCACATTCGTAAATGCAGATACATGACGTTTCATGAACGGCCATTTAACGGTACTAAAAAATCTCACAATTAGAAACTTTTTTTAAAACCGAATAATACTCTTCTTTTGAGTATGAAATTGGAAGAAGACGTGATTTTCTACCGAATAAGTAAAAGAATAAATATTTTTATGCATGCTTTCCATGAAATATAATTGAATTTTCAAGGGCATCGAAAAGAAATGAGGAAATTGCATGCTACTTAAGTAGTCATTTTTTGCAGAGTATAAATCTTGCATGCAGCCGAAAATAAGTTCTTTCGAAAGCCGACACCCCGAGATAACTGGATCATTATAGATTTATGCTGCATGATGATTCGTTTTACAACACTACTTAATTAATCTTTTCGAAACGAGAACGTATTTCGAAATATTGGTTGACATTTCATGAGTTAGCACATCTACTGTAGGTTTTACGCGTGCGTGTGTGTATGTTGTGTCCCCATACGGGACACGCAGTAGAGGCGATGGACCAAACACGGGGGTTAGATCGGAGTCCAGCAGGAGATATCGGGAATGCGTAACGAGGCACCGGACTAATTCACCTTTGACAATCTAGTTCAGATTTGTTCTTACCGAGTTCCTTGTTTGGTTAGATGGTAGTTGGTAGTCCTCCCGTTACCGAAAACTTCCAACTACCTGTCTTACGGAACCGGTGGTAATAGGGGCTATACGGGTTGGGCAAATGAGTGGAGGCGTAAATGGCGCTTGTAGTGTATGCCTGGAATTGACGTTCCGGGCAAAGTGGAAGCCTAATTTAAATAAGGTGAAAAATGAAGGGTGGGTATAGAAATAAGCATGGGTAATTAGTACGATATGCGGAATAATTGCATCCTTGCCCCAGATTGGAAAGAATAGCAAGTGAAGGCGAACAACCAATAGGAAGAGGACAGTGTGTCTTAAGGTCATTCCGCAGTATGTGCGATAGTACTCTAACAGACAGAATAGACATGAGAACACGAGAGTCCAGCAGCGGCACGCAGGACGGCATAACGCAAGCGGGGTAGGACTTTACTGCGAAAAATATGTTTGGGCGAAAGAGAAATCTGCAAATAATATTGTATTGTCACTGCGGCCACATCTAGGATTAAAACTATGGCAGTAGTTGTTTGCTATATGTGAATGGTGTACTATACAATGTAAAGAGGAAGTAGCACTCTGTATATGAAGTTACACTTTGTTCTGCTTGCAGAGCCCAGCCTCTTAGAAGGCGAAGGAAAGCAGTACCGCAAGTGGATAGGCCGACAGATTATTCGCGGATCCTGGAAATAATCCAGTCGTCCTACCTAGTGCAGTATCTCCAACAGAAAGGACTACTGACCTGTAGGGTCTTATGTAGATGTCGAAAGGTCATGCCCTTACAAATACTGCGACAGCACACGGATGGTTATGCCTCCAGGTAACATCTGGGTACTGTGGTATGCAGCCTAGGATAGTACCCCTAAAATGAATCAGATACAGGTAACACAGTGCGCGCATGCAATTACAAGCATAATGAGAAGCATGATGAATCATAATCCGCTTAGGATAAACCTTTAGTCCTTTACTAAAGATTTCCGTGTGGGGGTGCAATACAATGAGTCTATATAGACATTTTTGCAGCGCCTCGTTCTCGGGGCGGTTAGAGTGAAGAAGAAAGTCATCCTGACAGGGCCTCTGCGCGAACACTCCCAGACATAATGAGAACGTAATCACAGAGCTTGAAATCGAGCCAGTAAGTGCAGTTGTAGAATCGGTGGGCAGGGCTACCAACTACCATCCTACCCCTTGTTTTAACGTGACGGAAACAACTCGAATGGACATCCGCTCCACTGTCGTGCTCTGCTGTCAGGTATCAATATCAGGATTATTCACTAACCGGTTTTGCCTACCGCTCTTGATACTTAGAGCACGTGAGATATCATCCGTTAGTCCGTGAGAACATTCTCATTTACGTCATTGATGACTCCCGTCGTCAGCGTAGACGTTGTACCTTTCTATGTCATACTGAATAACATTTAACGTATTATTTGTTTCTGAACTTCTATTCTGTTTACGTCTACTTTTCTCACGAATTTTCTCGATATTGTGCCCTTTCTGTCTTGCTTACTATGTCTCATTCCAACCAACAACTTGATGCCTCCGCCCAGTCCCTTCATTCCGTGAATTTTGCCTTGCCCGAATTCTGGCAACATGTTCCAGAACTGTACTTCATCCGCATCGAACCAGCCTTTTATTCTGCTAACGTTACCAAGGAGCTGGCGAAATACCAAAAACTTGTGGAGGTTCTCCCCGCTAGTGTTATCCTTCAAGTTCAGTCCTTGTTGTCTAATCCCCCTGCAGATGCTCCCTATTCCACGTTTAAGGCAGAAATCCTTCCACTTAATGCTGTGTCTGACCAACAACGGTTTCACCAGTTGATTAAGGCGGAATCACTGAGTGACCGGAAGCCCTCAAAACTTCTAGGTCGAATGTGTTCTCTCCTTGGAGACATGCAGATTGACGAGAAACTCGTCGAGAAGATGTTTCTAGAGCGACTGCCTGCAGATTTTCAGACGATTGTTTGCGTCCGGTTTTCAAGATCTCACGGTTTCACGGCTGGCTGAAATGGCGGATCGAATGATAGAAGTGCAGCGGTTCCAGCCGCCCTCCGTTGCCCAGACCTCCACATCCTCGTTGACAGTGAATGAGCAGTTAGTGAAGCAGATGTCAGCCATGGCGGATGAGATGGCTCCACCTAAGTTACAGCTTGTCCGCCAAACTTCCAGTCGCTCCCCAGTCGTCGTCGTCGTCGTTCTCGCTCGCGACTTCGGACTGACGGCATTTGTTGGTGTCAGACCAGTTTCAGTGCAAAGGTCCGTCGCTGTTCCTCGCTCTGCTCTTTTAAGTCGCAACAGAAAACCAGTCAGCCAGAGACTAGACGCAACCGTTTTCTAGGGCTCTTCCGGCTCTGGTCGCACCTTCTATGCTTGGGACAGTGTGACTCGCAGACGTTTCTTTGTGGACACTTGAGCACAAAACCAACTGTCGTTTCCTCAGCTCTGGTCTTCATCTCCAAGCTGTTAACTGTTCCCCCATTCCCACTTTTGGCAGTCTGTTCCTCACCCTAAACACTGGCATTCGTCGGTCTTTCTCTTGGATCTTTGTGATTGCCGATCTCCCTCATTCTCAGACTTTCTAGCCGATTTCGATCTCTTTGTTAACCGCCGACGATTCCGACTCCTCAACCGTGCAACTGGTCTCCACGCGCGTGGTTTACCTCCCTTCACTGTCCCCTGAAATTTATCTGTCTTGGATCCAGCTATTGTTAGCCCCGGTTTCGCAGTGGTGAGGTTCAACATGATGTTTGGCTCCATATCGGCATCTCAGGTTCTCCTGTGTTTGCTCGATCGAGACATCTAGCCCCGAAGCGTTTCCAGGCCGCGAAGGCGGAGTTTGAACACATGTTGCAACTTGGGATCATTTGGCTGACCCAGAGCCCCTGGGCGTCCCCCCTGCACATGTTGCCCAAGGCGACACCAGACGGCTGAAGACCCTGTGGCGACCATCGTGTCCTTAACAACGCCATCATTCCCGATCAGTACCCAGTACCTCATCTTCAGGATTTTGCTGGAGCCCTTCTCGGCAAAGCGGTTTTCTCGAAGATTGACGTGGTGTGTGTCTTTCATCAGATTCCGATCGCGCCTGAGGACATCCCTAAAACCGCCGTCACCACAACCTTCGGTCTCTTTGAGTTCGTCCGCATGCCGTTCGGTCTTCGTAGTGCCGCCCAAACGTTCCAGAGGTTCATTGACCATGTCTTACGTGGCCTGTCCTTTGTGTATGCCTACATTGATGACCTTTTGGTGGCCAGCCGGAATGAAGAAGAACACAGAGAGCCTCGGTATTAAACCGCCTCGACAAGTATGGCATAATCATCATCATCATCATCATCATCATCATCATCATCATCATCATCATCATCATCATCATCATCATCATCATCATCATCATCATCATCATCATCATCATCATCATCATCATCATCATCATCATCATCATCATCATCATCATCATCATCATCATCATCACCACCACCACCACCACCACCATCATCATCATCACCACCACCACCACCACCACCATCATCATCATCATCATCATCACCACCACCATCATCATCATCATCATCACCATCATCATCATCATCGTCGTCGTCATCATCATCGTCGTCGTCGTCGTCGTCATCATCATCATCGAATCCTCAAGGTGTGTCTTTGGCGTGTCTTTCCTTTAATTCCTTGGCCATCATGTTGAATCAGAAGGTTTGCGTCCCCTCCCCTCCAAGGTTGAAGCAATTCGGGATTTCCCTCCACTGACTTCCAAGCGTCAGTTGCAGCGATTCCTCGGCATGGTCAATTTTTACCGTCAATTCATGCCGAACTATGTCGACCTTATGCTGGTGATGCAATGACTGCTTTCGAGAGAATCAAGGCCTCCCTTGCTGACGCTATCTTGTTCACGCATCCCGCTCCCGAGAATCACTCGCACTTGATGTTAGATACTTCGACCGTACCCGTGGGTGCATTCCTTCAACAACACCTTGCTGGTTCGACTCGACCACTGGCCTTTTTCTCCAAAAACCTCTTGCCGAGTGAGATCTGCCACAGTACCTTTGACCGTGAACTACTTGTCACTTACCTGACTGAGAAGCATTTCCGGCATTTCCATGAAGGTCGGGACGTCACCATTTTCACGGACCACAGTCCGCTGACTTTTGCCCTTCGTTCCCACTCCGAAAAGTAAAATCCGAGAGAGATCGTCCACCTAGGCTACATTTCCCAGTTCACCACCGACATCCTCCCCACTGATGGCACGGATAATGAGGTGGCTGACATGCGGTCCAAGCCCTCACTATCTTTCCTCCATCTCTCACATGGGATTGACTATGGCGTTATGGCGGCCGAGCAACAACGAGTCGATCGTCCTGGCGACGAGTCCACGAGTATTCTCCAACTCAAAGACGTTCCTCTGACCACCGACTTTGGTACCATACTTTGTGACGGCTCGAATCCGTTTTATCACCCTTTGTGCTCTCCTCGATGCGTCGAGCTGTTTTTCAAACTCTGCATGGACTCTGCAACCCTGGAATCTGAACCTTACAAAAGCCCCTGGACGAAAAGTTCGTCTGGCCTGGCATGAACAAGGACGTCAAAGCTTGGACCCCGTCGTGTCGGAGTCGCCGGCACAACAAGGTGCAACGTCACAACAAGTTAACACCAAACACTTTCCCCAGACCCCACCCACGGTTTAGCCATGTGCACCTGGATGTCGTAGGTCCCTTTGCCTCCATCCAAAGGCTATACTCACCTTCTAACCTGCATTGATCGGTACACCCGCTGCGCTGAGACCATTCCCTTGCGGAATGTGCAGGCTGAAACCATCGTGAAGGCCTTTGTCAGTGGTTGGGTCGCTATGTTTGGTGTCTGATCGTGCTGCCCAGTTTGAGTCTACCCTCTTCCAAACGCTCCTCGATTTTCTTGGCTGCAAACGCATTCGGACGACAGCCTACCATCCAGTTGCCATCGGGATGGTTGAGTGTTTCCATCGCCAGCTAAAGGCCGTCCTTCGTGTCGTAAAAGACCCAGGAAACTGGTGAGACAACCTTCCTCTTGCACTCCTCGGCATCCACGCAGCTCTAAAGTCGGATCTGGACTGTAGCACAGCTGAATTGGTTTTCGGCACTACCCTCCGACTGCCAGGTGAGATGGTCACCCCAACCTCTCGTGGGACCGGCGAGATTCCTGGCAAATATGTGCATCGTTTGTGGCAATTCCTGCGCTCGCTCGTTCCACCTCGAACTCCAACGACTGAGTCTTATGTCGAAAATGTCTTGGACAACTGCACTCATGTGTTCGTCCGGTGTGACCGTGTGCGCCAGCCGCTGGAATCACCATACGAAGGATCGTTCCGCGTGCTCGCGCGCAACGCCAAGACCTTCCGGATCCTTCGCGGTGATAAGGAGGACGTTGTCAGTGTCGATTGGGTCAGGGTTACTGTCACAGTGGAGCCGCCGGACCTGTCAAAAGGGCAAAAGTGTGCTGACCCCCTAACTCCTGTTCCTCCATCTTCACTATCTCCTGCTCATTCACCTTGCCCACTCCCTCCCCCTTCCCCCTTGCCCTCTACCCCCCCCCGTCCCGCATATCTCCTCTCCTTATATGTCTACAGCATCCAACTGCAACATCTAGGCTTATGTATACCCTTCGGCGTCGTTTTATTTCGCCCTTAGGTCTGGGGGGGGGGTACTAAAGCGGAGGTGACAGGACAGGGTTCAGGAAACGGAAATTTTTGAACAGACTGGAATTTTCACCATCCACGCCATGCTGAGACAACGAGGAAAACCTCTGGGAGGCTTAGAGTTCCGGATACATCCAGTGACCCACATCCCAGACTAACTGATGGTCTGTAGAAGTGGAGATCGACAACTCCCCTCCTGAATTTTAATTTCACCTTTCTCTTTTTAATAACAGACTCGGAAATTAAATTAATGGCTCTACAACCAGCATGAAGAATGTGAAAACGGGACTATAGAGGCAGATCTTCATGTTTTGGTTAGATACTTTGCTTGTAGTTATTTACGTTGGCTTTTATTAGTAGGACGGGTTTTTTAAGGTGCCGTGTCTGGTTTGATTACCATCACTTTTCTGAAAGCATGAGGTATAAGGTCCAATTTGATTACAAGTAATTATGCCTATTTAAATTAATAAGTAATAAGTTAACATATTTTTGGTTTCCACTGAACTAGAAACCAATTAATAATCCAAGGCTTTCAGTCCTCAACGTCAGTAGAACTGTTTGCACCAAGAGCCATCGAGGTAAAGAGGTCTACCGGTTTATCGTGATTGTGAAAAGCGCTACCGAAAACTTTCAGGCTCGAAGCCGTCTCCGTGAATTTATCCACAATCAGACAAGCGAGCTGCCATTTTTAGTAGGCCTCGTCTTCAGTATGGGTCTCCCTCGCGAGGTGCATGCGATGGCGACCAACGAACCAATCCTCCAAAACCTCAGGACAGAGATTGAGCGCTTTGACGATATTCTGCTGACCAACTTTGTGGATACTTACAACAACCTAACGCTCAAAACCATTATCAACCTGCGTTTTGCGCATACGCTCTGTCGGGGCGTCGCTACACAGTTCGTGTTCCTCGATGACGACTACGGTCTCTGGCTGGAGGGTCTTCTGGACTCTCTCGCCGGTTTCTCCCGCGCGGACCTCCTCAGTCACGCTTTCGGCGTCGTCAATCCCTCCTCACCCGTCATCCGGAGCCGAGGTCATAAGTGGGCCCTTGACCGATCCGCCTTCCCCTTCGATGTCTTTCCCAGTTACATGTCGGGATTTTGTTATGTCATCGGCGCGCAGGCAGTTGAGGCGCTATCCATTGTCGCAGCCTTCACAAAACCTCTTCGGTTGGAGGACGTCTACATCGGCATCATGGCCGCCAAACTGAACATTTCGCTACACACGCTTTCCGGGATTTTCCTCAACTGGCCTACTGCACAGACTACCGTCACGAAAGTGGTGGCTCCAATCGGCTACTTTATACGCAATTAGCGGTGAACACTTCAGGGGGACTTATGGGGGTCGGGAGAACTTGGTGCGCCAAATGCAGCGTATATTATATCGGTCACTTGATGAATTTCAACGAAACACTCATTCTATTGGTTACGTTGAAGCTGCGTTGTGTACATCTTCGCTGTCATGCCTTATACGCTATTTAACATCAATACCTTTGTAACCCATTTTGCTAGACCAGAAAATACAACTGAATTGCACTTCGCAGTTATCAGTCTATGATAAGTTATGATTTTTATTCGATGAGGTTATTAAGTGGCATAGGAACGTATCTTATAGTCTACAAACCTCTGGGTCGCTAGGCTGAAGAGTTAGGGGTCAGAGGTCTTAACCGACTCCGGCTAGCAACTGAGTCCGCTTCGCGCAGTCCAATACGCCTATACTCGAACCTCAATACAAAGATTTGCAGAATTTCATGAAGTTGTTTCCATTTAGGGGATGAATGCGGGACTTGGTCCCAATTCTTAGTAGGCAAGGAACAACCTTGAAAGAAGGCGAGATCAAAATGATATCTATCTGGAAGTACTCGACGGACGCTATCATTAGCGGTCGCATCATGTTGGCTCAGGCGCTAGGTGGAGCTCGTAGCCCTCGAAGGTTGTTGAATAAAACGTACATGCCAGCTTCCGCGGCGTTTGCGTACCCCAATTAGACATCGACATCATGTTTCCAGTCCGTATACCAGAACCCACAAGCGTTCCGTACAAAGCTCCCGCATTCCTATCGACCTTCCTACCTTTTCTGCCAACCAATCACAGACATCGGCGCGTGACCAACCAACCAAGATCGCGATTGGCATTAGCTCTGACTAGCAACTGGTGCAAAATTTGACCTGGCTAACGGACAGATGCAAACGTTGACACGTAGCTGGGTAATAGCACGGCTGAACAACATAAGCACGACCTAATGGTTGTCTCCTCACCAGGGCTAGCCCCAGGTTGTGGTGATTAAGGCTGAAGAACCTCAAAGCCAGGACGACCCACACATAGAATGTGGTATTCACATGCCGATTCCTGTGGTTTATAAAGTTCTCAGTAGTATATATATGCTGAAGTCCAAGGTGTTCTTTGGGAAAAGGAGTTTTATTGCGTGAATTTTCGACGCTCGTTCCCCAGGTCGTTGTCAGAAGCAGACAGAGAGCAACTGTGCCGACAACAGTTAACAGCTGTCAGTGCACTTGAAAATCGATAACTGTTCGGCGCTTACGCCAGTGAACGGCCGCTATCTTGGGATGCCTACTTTCCAGTACATATATATAAAGTTCTTACTTTTCTCACAGCAACTACCCTCTTCATATATATATATATATATATATATATATAATGTATATATATGAGATGGAGCCGACAAAGACAAGGGAGACCGGAATGGCCATTTCTGGCTTATTAGCCGTCATCAGCCAGTCATACCCAACCCCAAGTGTGGATCACTTGAGATTCGAACCCGGGATCTTTGGTCATGGAGTTTGACGCTCTACCATTGAGCCACGGGCCCGTTGTCCTGTCTCTACGGTGTTAAGAGGAGACCATATGAGGTTCATAAAATTAAGCAGTGGATTTGAGCAATATTGTTAACTTTACAAGCCACATTCGTAAATGCAGATACATGACGTTTCATGAACGGCCATTTAACGGTTTTAAAAAATCTCACAATTAGAAACTGTTTTAAAACGGAATTATACTCTTCTTTTGAGTTTGAAATTGGAAGAAGACGTGATTTTCTACCGAATAAGTAAAAGAATGAATATTTCGGGATAATAGTGCCTCAGTTTAAAACTGGTTAATATTTACGCTCTATCTTGGATGTGACCGTGTTACGAAGGGATGAGAGGCACTGTTTAAAACTGGGAGGGGGGGGGTTTATTACATTTGAACTGACCATTCCGAAAAATGTGAAAAAATATATCGACTGGACGGATTATGTTGACAGTGAATCGACTGGAAGACCAAACCAAGACAGCACAAAAAATGTCGCAGGACGAGCGTTCATCATCTAACTACCAAAACTAAAAGCGTCCTCCGCATTTTGCCCCCTTTCATGCTTTTATGGCTTAAGAACGGCTTTATATTTCTAATGCCTCCACAATGCTTGCAGGTATTGGTAGTACCGAGCTAGAAACCATGGTTTCCTATAAGTATTTGTTTCAGGCACCAACGCGACAGTGGGCGTAAAGGACAACAGAAGCGAAGAGACTAGAGACCTCTAATAAACCCCTCCCGGTGAACGCCTTTTCTTCTAGAAGCGAAGAGACGAGTCCCAGGAAGTAGTCGTGAAGAAGCAGACACGATCGTTGGGACAAGAGCTTTATTCGCCTGATGCTTCGGATTTCTACTGTAACCCATCATCAGAGACATGCACAAGGGGCTGCACCATTTATAGGATGCAATCGCTACGCTACCGCATACCTATGAAAATTAACGCCACCCTTCATCAGGTATTGTTGCACTTGGTGTGGTGACTGTTTGGTGTCCGACATTCGCGTCGCTGGTCGTTGCAATCTTATCATGTGTGTTGGTGGGATGATTACTCGACCATCTGATCCACCGACCGTGGCGATGAGAACAGTGTTCACCTCTGCGCCCCACCCCGTGGCAAATTACTCCGCCTAAGCGAAGCCTCAGCACCGAATATGGAGAGGGGATGTCGTTGCATTTGTTGATAGACTGAGGTCCCATGAACCATGCCTTAAGCAACTCGCGGCTCACGCGATTATCACCCCTTGTGAGAATTGCGGCCTCATCGAACCTGAATGTGTGGTCGAGTCTCGTCAACTGGGCCGCAACTCGAGAGTCGACGTCATTTCTCAGCACCGCTGCCGCGTTTTCGACGATTCACATCCGAAGCTGTCTTCCAGTTTCTCCGACGTAGTTGCTCTGTCCGCAACTGCACCATATTCGGTAAACGACTCCAAATGTTTCTTGCCGTGGTATTGGGTCTTTTGTTCAAATCACCTGACGCCTACTGGTTGCCTCTGGTCTGTGTGCAACTCCAACCCCAAGTGGTGCGAGAAAGCGACTGTCTGCCTCGGAGACGTTTTTGATGTATAACATCGTTCGCAAGAATCTCGGCCTCGTCGAATTTGAACAACCCCTTCCCCTCTAACTGTGTACTCCACAAATACATACTACTAGGGAACTTACAGTAGGCCATACTAAATGAGGATCTTGAAAAAAGGAGAAAGCTAGAGGGACGGGGAATGGCTTCTGAACCTTGGAACAGGTTCGGATCACCAAAATCGTTATAATGTCCGAACTCTAGAGCTTACCTGAGTTTTAGTAACTGCTAAGCGAGGTACTTCACAAAATGGTGACAGAGCGAAAGGCCGGGACACCGCCGAGAATGCAAAACACGTTGCTTTGAAATATTTCCGAAAATTTGTGTTTCCGCAGTCAGCCAAGGGATATAATGACCGCATCCACCGCGCATTGAAGATGCAAATAGTCTCCTTTGGTTTACAAATGCCCTCTATCAGTTTATTTGGTGAGAGTAATGGGCATTGTCTTTGAAAACTCTACAGTTTACATGCTTGTTCGTTATATGCATATGTACACGCATTCCCTAAAATTGACACAATTAAAATAGTATTCACAGAATTTAAGTAGCATCGTTTTTAAAACAAACTCTTGTCTGGAGTTGACGCGGTATTTTGGTCGGGTTCAGATTGTCGAGAGGAAACTAGGGACGTACATAATTACCCAGGCGTCTCTAGAAGAACTGGAGGGAAGTCTCTCCCACGACTGGCTGGCTGGCATTAAGTTAAAATAAGATCAACTATTTGTTGCCTGTAATACAAAGGGTGTAGATTGAGAGATTCAAGTCTTTCCATATGAGAATTGCACTTCATACCCCTCACAAGCTTTAAAGCTTGTAACAATTGTTACATGACCTTGAACTTTCTAAATACCATGCCCAGTAAGTACCGTGACAAAGCATGACTTATTCTACATATTATTTTTTTGCCTTAAGGCAAATAAATTTTTGTTTAATAAATTCTCTACAAACATTAACGCCAGCAGACGTCCAAATGTTCTGTCAATCTCTTTATTTCGGGACTTCGCTGTATCGCATAAAAGTCTGTTATGGCTAAAATTGCGAGGAAAATCGATATCATAAAGGGAGGAAGGGGCATGACGAAAACCGCGAAAATTAGGCGTCCTCCTGCGTATTTCTTTGGAGAGGAGGCAAGAAGGGTCAACGTCGTGGATTGTTCCCCACTTTGCAGTAGATCCTCTGCAGCTGGGACTAGCCCCCTCTTAGCCCCCTCGACAGGCGGGGTGGACAGCTGCCAGTAGAGCTCTCTCCGAGGCGTAGAAGTTAACCCTAATAGCAAAAATTGGCGTTTCGAGCTCGCGAATGTACGCGTTAGCGCCCCCTACCGTATCTGCGATTTGATTGGTCGATACGTGCGTCTCGTTTGCACTGCCAGCGGCGCAGTCGACGGCGTGCACTGACGCATGAAAATCGATATCAACCGGTGCACCCGATGCTCGACCGGCCTCAGGCAGTCCCGGCGCGCCACTTCCTGCTCTGCCACCTTGCCGTGCGCACGCTCAGTTTGGCCTACATCGTTTTCGTGCTTTTCTGGCCCTGCCCTCTAACTGTTTTTATTTTTTTTTGTGTCTATTATGTTTAAAGGTGAAAGCAGCCGCACCCGTCGACGTCACGTACGACGGAAAGCTACAGAAATCATAAGAAATATTACCAAAAAGGTGAGGAGAATGGTACCGTCGGACACATCGTCTGACAGCTCGGCGACATCTACGGAGTCGTCTACCTTCTCCGAAGACTCGGAGTTTGACATTGATAACGAATCCACGAACGAACCAGGCTGTTCGAGTGGGTTGCCGGAGCAGGTAGGGAAAGGAAAGCGAACGCTGCTTGAGCCATTGAGTAGGTGGGCTGCTAAGTCAAAAACGGCTCATGTCCATGTGAATACTCTGCTGAAGATTCTCAAGCCCTTGCATCCCGAGCTCCCGTTGGACGTACGCACACTGCTTGGTTGCCTGGCCAAACCAGAGCTCGAAACGAGCCCCGTAAGGCTGATGTGTGCAATGAGCTCGCTTTGCTATAAGGGTAACAGGACTAAGATATATCTAAGTCCGCTTCAAGTATACTTCAAAAGGTACCACGTATAGGTAGTTTTAACAGCACACTGGGATGGTTTTCCAGATGACCATTAGTAGTGCGGGCGCATTTTGGCCAAAGCGATAGCTAGCGAAACTTCAACCGAGTAGTTTCCGAAAAAAAACAAGTTCCGACGGGCGATACGTTACGTATGAAGGCTGCACCAGTTACGTCCGGAGGATTTGCACTTCGATTCAAAAAATCGTCTCTATACGAAGGTTTGGTAGAACAGAGGAAGCCATTTGACAACAAATTTTCATACGGACAATGTAGTAGAGATCCATAAAAACATTGGGAGAATGCAGAATAGATAGGATAAGTCCGCCACGGTAATATGTCAAATCCCTCCAAAAGCCGTCGCGAGCAGGATTTGAACCTGCGCGGGAAATTCCCAATGGATTTCTAGTCCATCGCCTTAACCACTCGGCCATCGCGACACGCGCCGCTGCTCACAAAGTGCACATGACAGCTAAATTACAGAGTTTGATGTGGCAAGTCCTGTTTACATGTGTCAGACGGCTGCCACAGCATATTTAGGTGAATTTGGGTAAAATCGCCGCAATAAGAAGTACCGAAACAAAGACTGAAGTCCGTAAGAGTAGGAGCCAAAAGTTTATTTCAGTCTCTTCCCCGGTATTTCTTATCGTGGTGTTCCTACCTAAATACACCTATAGTCACTGACTGACCTCATGAAACGTTGGCCGAAATTCTGAAATGTCATTGCGATTAGGAAGGACTAATTGAGTGGAGTTGTATTATTCATGATCTTACGGCATAATGCCGCGATGCCCCAGGCACGCCAAGATGTTGGCTTTTGAATGCACTTCTTTTCGACAGTCCACAAAAACAGTACTCAGTAAGAAATGACTACTTCAGGAGCACGCATTTTCTGTATTGATTTTTGATGCTCATATAGATTCAAGTATATGTTATGGAAGACATGCATGAAAATATTCTTTCTTGTACTTGTTTGATAGTAAAGTACGTCTTCATACTTTATACCCGACAATGGGATATTCTATAGGTTGAAATGTTATTCCCCCTAAATAATTTTGTTCTCGAGTTCCCAACGCATTTGTGTTCAAGTTTTTCAGTCTACCAGCTGCATACTTTCCATGCAAGGACAAAGATTCATTCCTCTATTCCTCTACTGGTAGGTATTTCATCGGTGCAAGTCAGTAGTGGGTGTAGAATCTGCTGAAGTAATTGGACAAATGGCAGAAGTATGGAGCAAATGCCTTCTGACGGATTTGCAAGACGTCTGCCTTAAGACGCGAATGTCGCTATCGAAGGTGAAAGTAGTGCTTGATTTGCTCCGTCCCCACCACCCAGAAGTACCCAAGGACCCAAGAGCGCTATTGAGAACTACGCGAACTTGTAGTAGGGAGCTCCTGAAAAGCAGGAACTGTGTAAACTTGGGCCTTGGACGTGCTTTGCTGCACCGCCGGCAACCCTGCCAGCACATGGCCCCTTCATAGGCGGGGCTGGAAGGGGCTGGGTGGGGCCGGAGCCCCCTCTGCATTGAAGCATTTTTAAGCGTATTTGCATCGAAAGATATGTTTCAAAAGCACCACTTATTGTACCTTCTTTGGAATTAAAAGGAGCTAATTTATCAAAATTGGCTTATAAATCATGGAGAAAGCATCCGTTTACGCCCACTGAATGTAGCTGCGAATGAGCACAATATACTGAGGATTTGTTTAAGTCCCTCATTGCGTAAACTCTTATTTGTCCACCGGTTTACAATCTGTGTGTGTTATTAATTCGTATATTTGACAATCGGGACGATATTTTAAAGTGGTGCCAAAAGTGGGCGGGGATGTGGCCTCCCCTGCGTATTTTTTTTCGCTGGCGGGGCCAGGCGGGGCTATCGCGTTGCATGCCCCGCCACAGCCCCCTCCACAGGCCCGCCTAGCCCCCTCATGGCCCCCTCTAGCCCCGCCATTATTGAGGGGGCCAGGCGGGGCTAGGCGGGGCTGGTGCTGGTAGGGAAGCAATCGGAATTCCTGAAATGCGCATGCAGTTGCACATTGATAAGATGAAGTTATTTAAAGCCTCTGGCCAATGCCTCTGATATGTCTATTAATGTTTCTCATAAAGTATACAACATTGTCAACATCCGTTGCAAGATTTTATGAGTCCAACGTGGTATTTATTTAGCGGCATAGAGGAATGGATGTTTTTCCTTACATGGAAAGTATACAACTGGTAGACTGAAAACCTTAAACACAAATGCAATGGAAACTCGAGCTTAAGAAGGTTCCACACAGGAGGTCACATAAGTGACCATGACTTCGAACACCTCCGGCCAGTCGGCCCACATCCCTCGATTATATGTTTTACCTAAGATTCAAAAGGAAGGCCCACCGGTTCGTCCGATTTTAGATATGCGGAACTCTCCGTATCATGTGATAGCTAAAAGGTTGGCAGAGAAACTCGAGCCCATACAACATCAGCTGGCACCACGCAGCTATCGAGATTCCTTTCAATTCATTGACGACATTAAAGACCTCAAACTTAACGGCATGATGATGTTCTCAATGGACGTTGCATCACTTTTTACAAACGTCCCAGTTACCGAGACAGTTGGTTGCATCTGAGAGTTTCTATCTGCCAGTCATCAAGAAATAGGAATACCGACGAACGCACTCAAGGAACTATTACTAAGATGCACATTAAATGCACAGTTCCTTTTTGACAACCAACTCTATAGACAAATAGACGGCGTTGCCATGGGCTCGCCTCTTGGACCTCTCTTAGCCGGCGTCTTCATGGGCAAGCTGGAGAGATTTCAACTAAACAATCAGATCAAAAAGCTTAAACGTTATGGTCGCTACGTTGATGACATCTTTGCGATTGCAACCACAGAAACCGACGTTGCTGCCATCCTAAATGTTACAAATCAGGCACATCCATCGATCAAATTCACGTTGGAGATGGAATCGGCCGGTTAGCTTCCTTTCTTAGATGCCCTTCTCAACAGGAGATCTGACGATAGCATCCGAAGGAGGGTCTATCGGAAGAAAACCTGGTCTGTACAATACACGACCTTCGCTAGTTTCGTACCTCTCCAACAAAAATGAAATCTAATCAGCTGTTTGGCACAAAGGACTGGAAAAATTTGTTCAACAGATAGTATCGAGGGGGAACTTAGAAGAATTCAGGACTTCCTTCGCGAAAACGGGTATCCTGACAGGTTCATTACAAAGAACCTTGCCGAACGATCCGCAGAACGCACCACACTGACCGCCGAAAAGAAAACGTTGTTCCTCAAAGTCTCTTTCCAAGAGACGCTGCAAGCGAACTCCTAAGAAGACGCCTTGGCCAAGCTGTCTCGGGAACCGTCCCAGCAGCAAGAGTTCGCATATCATTCTCTACTAACCCTACTTTACGCGGAGAAGACAAGGATAGGCTGCCACCTCAGACCGCCTCAATGTGCATCTACTCATCCCCTTGCTCCTGTGTAGCAGGTTATATTGGTCGTACGAGTCGGCGCCTTTCCAAAAGAATACGAGAGCACCTTCTTGCATGGCTGGCAAAAGGTAAAACTAGGAGAATAGACAGCGCCATCCTTGGGCATGCAGTGGATTCAGGACATCGTGTGGACTCCGCTGAAGCATTTCATGTGATTTATAAGGTCACCTCGAGCTACCTAAGCTACTGGGCCAGCGCCTGTTAGCAACAGCAGAAGCTGCCGCCATTAGATTACGAAAACCGACCCTATGCGCCAAGAAGAACCTCGTTCAGACTCAGCGCTTATCGTTGTCGAAGGTTGACTAACCACATGCAACATTCTGCGCCCTTCAGCCCTTGCCCAGCCTGTATTTTAAAAACTAACTTTTTATCAATTTTTTTACTCACTATACTCCGTCCCATAAAACTGTACTGGGCTAAAGAGATGCTATCGAAAGCAACGTTCGCTTGCCAACGTTTTTTGAAAAAAACCTTTAAACCTATAGAATATCCCATTGTCGAGTATAAAATATGAAGACGTACTTTACTATCAAACAAGTACAAGAAAGAATATTTTCATGCATGTCTTCCATAACATATACTTGAATCTATATGAGCATCAAAAATCAATACAGAAAATGCGTGCTCCTGAAGTAGTCATTTCTTACTGAGTACTGTTTTTGTGGACTGTCGAAAAGAAGTGCATTCAAAAGCCAACATCTTGGCGTGCCTGGGGCATCGCGGCATTATGCCGTAAGATCATGAATAATACAACTCCACTCAATTAGTCCTTCCTAATCGCAATGACATTTCAGAATTTCGGCCAACGTTTCTTGAGGTCAGTCAGTGACTATAGGTGTATTTAGGTAGGAACACCACGATAAGAAATACCGGGGAAGAGACTGAAGTCCGTAAGAGTAGGAGCCAAAAGTTTATTTCAGTCTTTGTTTCGGTACTTCTTATTGCGGCGATTTTACCCAAATTCACCTAAATATGCTGTGGCAGCCGTCTGACACATGTAAACAGGACTTGCCACATCAAACTCTGTAATTTAGCTGTCATGTGCACTTTGTGAGCAGCGGCGCGTGTCGCGATGGCCGAGTGGTTAAGGCGATGGACTAGAAATCCATTGGGAATTTCCCGCGCAGGTTCAAATCCTGCTCGCGACGGCTTTTGGAGGGATTTGACATATTACCGTGGCGGACTTATCCTATCTATTCTGCATTCTCCCAATGTTTTTATGGATCTCTACTACATTGTCCGTATGAAAATTTGTTGTCAAATGGCTTCCTCTGTTCTACCAAACCTTCGTATAGAGACGATTTTTTGAATCGAAGTGCAAATCCTCCGGACGTAACTGGTGCAGCCTTCATACGTAACGTATCGCCCGTCGGAACTTGTTTTTTTTTCGGAAACTACTCGGTTGAAGTTTCGCTGTCGCTTTGGCCAAAATGCGCCCGCACTACTAATGGTCATCTGGAAAACCATCCCAGTGTGCTGTTAAAACTACCTATACGTGGTACCTTTTGAAGTATACTTGAGGCGGACTTAGATATATCTTAGTCCTGTTAACTTCTACGCCTCGGAGAAAACTCTACTGGCAGCTGTCCACCCCGCCTGTCGAGGGCCCTCGGGCTAGTCCCAGCTGCAGAGGATATACTGCAAAGTGAGGAAAAATCCACGACGTTGACCCTTCTTGCCTCCTCTCCAAAAAAATACGCAGGAGGACGCCTAATTTTCGCGGTTTTCGTCATGCCCCTTCCTCCCTTTATGATATCGATTTTCCTCGCAATTTTAGCCATAACAGACTTTTATGCGATACAGCGAAGTCACGAACTAAACAGATTGACAGAACATTTGGACGCCTGCTGGCGTTAATGTTTGTAGAGAATTTATTAAACAAAAATTTGTCTGCCTTAACGCAAAAAATAATATGTACAATAAGTCATGCTTTGTCACGGTACTTACTGGGCATGAGTAAAGATTCGAGGTCCTGATAAATTATCGCGTTCATCATCCACAAAAGAAGACGAAGAAGAATAAGGGGCGATTGCATGGACCAGAGTTTATTGGTGCTGACGTTTTGGAAACTTCCTCGTTTCCATCATCAGAGTGGTGGGGTGTCTGTTCCTGCTTGCTCGAAGTTGTTCTGCCTCGCCGCCTGTCTTTTGTTATAGACATGCCTGACGCACGAAGTCTGACCTGTCTTCTGGCTGGGGATTGGCTTTGGTCCCTCCGCGGGCGGCCAATGGCGCGCTCCTGTGACTCTGCCCCCTGACCGGCTGTCGTAATCGCTGCAAATTCTGTGTGCCAATGGGCCCTCACCTCATCATCGGATGGGCTGATCAGTTGCCGTTGCATGTGTGAATCACGCTCGGCTGTCTGGGCGCGCCGGTGGGGCGATGTCTCGCGTTGGCCGTGTGACCTCCGGCTGGCTCCTTCCGCCTCCTTATTTTGGGGATGATGAACGATATATATATATATATATATATATATATATATATATATATATATAAAAGGAATGGGCGCACACCGATCTATTGGCTTCACAAAGCAAACAAGCTCCGTATGTGTGGCAAAGGTCACGAACAGGCAACCAATTACCAGGCCGAAGTCGGCCAAGGCATAATAGCAGCGAGGAGGGACGACAGAGAATGCGGGTAGATTGATACAGCACTGTTTCGGGCTTATTCTGCCTTCATTCAGCCCATTCCTGATTGATAAATACCCGATCTGCAGCGACAGAGAATGACAGGTGGCGAGGCACTGATGAACTTCGGTTCGATGAAGTGCTTATGACCCATCTGGTATGCCTCAGTGGTGGACCGACTGCACCAGGTGCGTCTGTGCGCATGTTTGTGTTTCTGGTCGCAGCTGCTGGCGGTCAGGGTTATGATTGGCTGAATGAAGGCAGAATAAGCCCGAAACAGTGCTGTATCAATCTACCCGCATTCTCTGTCGTCCCTCCTCGCTGCTATATATATATATGAAAACAGGAAGAGGTTCTTCGGAAAAATCGAGTTGTACTCGTGAATTTTCGAGCTGGTGACACCAACCCGTCGTCAGAC